GTAACATAGTGTGTGTATATATATATATATATATATATATATATATATATATGAAATGAATTAGGGTTAGGGTATAAACAAAAATAATTAATAAAAATAATTACTTATATTAAAAAAATCAAATAATTACGGGATAAATATCTACAAATTAAAACGTACTTGTTGTGCTATTGCAACAGTTGATACGAAATATTCGAAATATACACATATTGTACAATTAAACGAGAATAATTAATAAATAAAATATATTTATCTATATTTAAAATTAAATAATTATGGGATAATTATATACACAGTAAAATGTACCAGTTGTGCTAATACGATAGGTAATACACAATTGTAGAAATAATATAATAAATTATATAAATAATATGTAATTAATAATACAATGTATTATACGAAATAATATGTAATAATAAAAATAATACAATGCATTATTCAAAATGACATGTAACAGTATTGATAACGCAATAGATAAATTCCAAAAAATTTTACTGCACTAAATAAAATTATAAATATTTAAATCATTTAAATAAATATAAAACTTAGACTTTAAATCATAGAAAATTGTAGAAATTCGAGAAAAATATAAATACTCTTTTAAAAATCATAATTAAATATTTTAAAATACTAGAAAATTATTTTAACTAGTATCAAAATTCATGGTCCTTACACACTGGTATGTTGGAGATGTACACTTCAGTGCACAATGGCTCTCTCTACTATAGAGACAAAGTATATGGCGGTGACTGAAGCTGTTAAGGAGGCTTTGTGGTTACGTGGATTATTAGAGAACTTGGGGATTGCACAGGAGACCATTCGGGTATATTGTGATAGCATGTCAGCTATCTATTTGGTGAATAACCAGGTTTATCATGCACGCACGAAACACATCGATATCAGATTTCACTTTGTACTTGACGTATTGGATGATGGAGATGTCATATTGGAGAAGATCCACACAAAGGACAACCTTGCGGATATGTTGACCAAAGTTGTTTCAGGTGTTAAGTTTGGTCATTGTTTGGAGCTTTTGAACATTCTTCGGTGTTGAGGCATTTGGAGGCCATTTTGGTGAACTACGTGAAGGCTTGATTCCTTAGGCAAGAGGATACATAGGCAGTCATTTATGATGCGGCCGATTTGGGAGTAGATACCGACGTTTAGAGTTTGTTCGTATTCTCATTTGGTTTCACGACTTGTTGTGGATTGAGTCCGTTGTCGTGAATTAACTTCACGACGTACTGGACACAACAAGTGGGATATTTGATTGCTTTGGTGTCGCTCAGTTTTGGGAAAACTTCGCTGAGATGGAGAATTGTGAATAGGAAGTACATGGGGCCCACCCACGTGAGTTACTCAAACTCCCACGTGAGAGATTCAGAGCCCGCAACGCCGCGTGAAAGAGATTCACGAGCCCAGACCTGAAACGGACGAAAGCATATATATATATTATATATATATATTTATATTAATATATATATATATTAATTATATATATATATATGATATATATATATAATATATATATTATTAATATATATATTATTTATATTATATATATATATATATATATATATTATTATTCTTAGGGTTTATTTGGTTGCGCTGTGAAGGAGAAAAAGACTGGCTATTTGTTTTTTTTTTTTGGCTGCGGTAACGTGGCAAAGAGTAGGGACAAGAATCGCTGTCATTTCTAGTTTTTCGTGCAAGGGCGTGTTTTGGTGGACTGTTCTTTTGAGGGAGATATTTGTGAGGGATTTGAGAGATTGTTTGAGGGTTTATGTTGTGTGATTGTAAACCCTAGTTGTATTCTCTCCCTCTAATAGTAGATCTTCCCCCTTCTTGCCCCGTGGACGTAGGCTATTTGCCGAACCACGTAAAATTCATTGTCTTATTGTGATTTGTAATTGCTTGTAGGTTCCCTCGACAAGTCAGTCCTAGAACTGATGAGAGGAAGAGCTGATATCCCACTTTGTTGAGATATTTTACTTTCGGTTCTTGTTTCCTTTGTGAAACATCTTACTCTCTTGTTGTGCAGCAGAAGTGCTGCCAAAATTTCCGCTGCACACAACACCCTTCTCGTTACATCTTTTCCCTGATCTCTCATAAATAATATATATTGGCTGAGAAATCAATTATTCTGATTTTTGAATGATTTAAAGTGAGATATGGCCCCCCCCCCCCTCTAATAAGGCAACCTTTTGAAAACAAAACACCAAACAACGCTCCTTCAACAATGAACACGATGACCCATGAAGCCGCCTCCTATCAATCCCAGATTCCAGCACCCAGTCCTCCATCATCTTGAATCTCTCCTCCTCCACAACAAAACAACTCCGTCCCCATCAACAAAAACAATCTCCAAATTCAAACAAATCCTCTCCCACTTCATAACCACCGGCCTCTCTCTCCACACTTACCCGCTCTCCCGCTTCCTCTCTCTCTCCTCCTCCCTCTCTCTCCTCTCCTACTCCCTCTCTCTCCTCTCCCGCTCTCCCCCCTCCACTTTCCTCTTCAACACCCTCATCTCTTCCT